CAGTGCCCCCCCTACCATCCCCATTTCTCTCGTAGCTCGCTCGCCACCTCGGGCCGTTTTCCATCAGAGCGCGAAAAAACTTTTTTTGCCGAGGCGCGAAAAACAAGCTCGACTAAAATTTTCCCTCCCACAGCCCCCTCCCCTAGCCATACTTACCACGGCCCCCTTTGTTTGTAACACACATACACACATACCTACATGCCCAACAGTACGCTGGGGGCTTTTTCAAGACTAATCATTCGTCGTTGTTGTTGTTGGGGGTGGTGCTGCCCGGTTGTTTCTAAGTGAATTTTGCACATGGGAAAAACTCGGGGCAGGGGCGCGCGTACGGATAAATCAAATCGTTCGACCGGAAAGCGGTTAATACGCCGAGTATTTTATTTCGTCGCGCTCGAACGGAAGAGATAAAAAGTAAAAAAGGCACGGCTCGGTGGGAATTGACAAATGATGTGGGCTATCGCCGCGGCCCGAACGGGGGAAGCCCATCGCGCTATCGAAATTTATACCTGCATATGTGCTCGTCTCTTTTTTTTTTTTTTTTTTTTTTTTTTTTTACTGTTGTGCATGCGTGCGTATAATATACATTGTACCGAATTACTCCTCTTTCCTCATGCAGTTGTATCGATTGCAAAGATTCGAACGCGGGGAAAAAAAACCCGAACAAAGAAATAATGGCAAAACACGCAGAGAGAGAGAGAGAGAGAGAGAGCGCCCACAGCGATGAACATTTGGTGGGTCCGCGTAACGAGTATAATATGCATATTATAAAGTCGCATGAGCGAGAAATGTTTAAAGGGCTCCTTAATTTATGTAGCCCGTGTTTTCACGGGCAATTTCCAGTTTCTGCTCAAAGCGCGGATTTATAACGCAAAGGACCGGGATTTAATTCGGTGCGGGCAACTTTCGCCGCGGATATTTATTGTCCCGGGTCTAACAGATGAGGCCGCATGAAGCCGGCTCGACCGTATAAATCCGGGCCCTGTGGCTACACGACGCGAGTATCGTCCACAATAACCCGCACAATTTGGATAAATAATTCGAATACGCGTATACGCACACCCGTTACATTGTTATTGAGTCATGTTGAGGAGTATATACGTAAGTACCTACCTATGTTGTACCTATAACGATGCACGTGTATCCATCAAAAGTACAAAAATTCGTCGGTCTCGCGCGAAATTGCAGGTGAATGTACAGACCGATGAACTTTACGGGGTGTGGGTGCACACCGGGCGTTTCCAACTTTTATATTGGACGGGTGATGCAAATGTCGCGTGGCTCCCGCTTGCATTAACTTTATATCAAACGAAACGCCCTCCTCTTGGCAGATGAGAGTTTCGGGTGAAAAAAGCCGACGCACGCGAAGAGACGCGAAAGAGGACAAATAAAGCGCGTAGGTGTACTTTACTTACCCGCGGTGCGTGATGCATTATTTGCACTTAGGAGCGGAAATTGCCTTTCCGCGACTGCGGAAGAGGAGGGGGGGGTGCAGTCGATTGGCCGTCTCCGATACCGCACGAGGAGCGGGAAAAAGTATCGTATTAAAGCGCTTTTTTCAAGGGAAATAATGAAGAGGCGTTTCAACCGCGTGCTCACATGTGCCCCCACCCCGTCGCGCATTAATTATGTTTTGGGCTCGTCAAAAGGTTAATGTTGGAAAAAATGTCATCGACACGATGAAAAACCCCAGTGTGGCTACAATATTGTCTCCACCCACGTCGCAGAGTATAATAATTATGATACGCACGCAAGGTTGTTTATGCAGTGCTGTACACATAATTTTTGCATGCATATGATTATTGGTACTAAGTATAGAGAAGGTGGATCCGTACACAGAGCGCAGCTTAATCTTACAGCCTATTCATTTAAGCTGCCCGTCCGTGCTGCAGTCGATCGACCGGCTTCGAGCTGGTATTATACGGTGGTAGGCTGTGCTTGATTCAATATAGCCCATTTATTTGCTGCACCGATAATAGATATACGCAAGCCATATGCCGTACAATTTCGACTCCTTGGAAAGGGGATTACGTCAATAATTACGTACTTTTGGTCTATTCTTTAAATACGTTTTCCAAAATATTTATTGCCCCCCCCCCCCCGTGAATTAAAAAAACACCAATCACTACACAACCTGGAGTACTTTCTGGCCNATGTACGATATAAACCATGTATTTTTCCCTCTACGGGAACAAAATCGCGGCAAAGCACTCGCCGAAAAAAAAAAAAAAAAAAAAAATTCACTTTTGTCTTCTGTACATAATTAGTTAAGGTAGTCCTTGCGTCGAAGCTAGTCAGAGCAACGTAGCTTCTAATTTGACAATTTTGTAATTTTCGATTAAAAAGAGAGAAAAACAAAAAAAAACAATTGGAGAAAAAAGAATACCAAGAGATGGGGTGGATGATACCGGTGAAATTTGTCAAAAAAAATTTTTATTTACTTTTGAAAGATATTTTTACAATTATTTGTAATAAACAGTATTTCCGTTGCTTTACAGTTAGCAGCTGTACAGTACATGCGTAGCCCTTTAATGTATCTTTTAAAATGGTCTCATTACAAAAATTATCACATTTTTATGTGCAATATCACGTGTCATGAGTCATCTGTTTTTAGCCAACTCAAAGAAACATACATATACTTCATTACAATCATTGCATATAGGTATATCGTGTCTGAATAGTACATTATACCCTTGGGTCAGTACACTCTCATAAGTATAAAAAAAAAAGTAAGTAACTTATATCGTGTGTTGTACTGGCTATACCGCCGCGGATATGTAAAAATATATATTATATATATACATACGCAGATATAAATGATTAACTGACAGTTGATAAAGAGGAAATCAAACATTTCAGCTTCTGATAACTGAGCTAGCACGTATATGTACAGGGTACGTATATATAGCATATATTATAGTAGCTTATTCTCCAACAATTCCAACAAATTCAAAATGACAAAATTGACAATTGCTGATGTGATGTCGCTAGTCGCCGACGATTGTCATGATGCACCTCCACATCATCGCGACCAGAGATTAGTAGTAGTAGTACTAATCTCTGTCGCGACTTACTTGCGTCCACGTGCTGGTAAATAGTAGTTGTGGGTGTGCTTTAATTTAACTCTACATTACTCTACAACCTGAAGACTAAAGTTTTTTTTTATTTTTTAAAACAATACGTTTTTATGATAAGGATTATTGGTTTAAACATTGATTTAAACGATCGATATGTCAAACGCTTTAGTTCGTAAGAGTTTGGAATTACTCGGTTATGAAACAGCCATAAACAAAGGTGTGTCTCATTTATTGTTATTCTTCAAAATATTGTATCAACTGATTCCAACTTTTCGTAAAATATTTTAACTGCCAAGATTATATTAATCAATACCCATAACCTTTTTACGTTACTTTTTTTAAACCTTGCATTACACATTGTTTCAAAGGTTAACTGGTATGTTGAAGAACTTGAATAATTGTACAATTTTCAGGTACATCCAAGAAAAAGAAGAACAAGTCTTCAGGAGTTATTGATTTAATCCCAACCAATCACAGAATTTTATCAAAAAACAAAAAGAAAGGTGTGTTTACTCTTGTAACTAATTATTAAATCTCACTTTTATCACAATAATCATCGTTGACACTACTTTTAGGCTCATCATACGTTTTAAAACGCACCAGTAAAACAACAGTGTATCAAGTAAAACAACAATTGAAATCGAAAATTGACCCGACAGAAGATAACGTTCAAAGGCTTTTGCTTTTAGGCAGTAATAAACTTGATCCTGAAACTACAGATAAAGTAAGTTTAATTTCAAGATTTGTGTTATAGTATAAGAGAATACAAGATGAAAATAAAAGATATATTTAAATTTCAGATTTTTAGCAGGGCTGTGAAAAAACCTTACAAAAGTAAAACTAAAGAAGAGAAATTAAAAGAGGAAGAAGAAAATAGAACTGCCTTTAATGAAGAGGACTTTAAAAAGTTTGAAGAAGAATATTTTGATTCGTAAGCGATTGATACTCCATTCTTATCTCACATTAACTAGTAATGTTTAATACAGATCAAGAAATAGGAAAAGCAATACTAATCATAGCTTCTGTAATTTTTTTATACTACACTGTGTGGATTATTGGCTTGCCATTCGTAGATGACACAAGAATAAAATTACTATTCTATTCTCATAATATAGCGCTGATGATTCCAGCTATTTGTGGATTTTGTTTTGTTGGTGGTTTATTATTATTTGCTGCATACCACATCAAACCTTATTTAGGAAATAGATAGAAGTAATCTAACTATAAATGTGAGTGAGGCAACCAGATATTACCTTTCATACAGACGCACTCAGACTTTGATGTGAAAAATATGAACCGTACATTATGTAATGTAAAGATAAAAGTATCTACAATCTTCTATCAATGAGGAAAGAGTCATAGTTTATTAGAATACTTGGTTATGCTGTCACGTGAATCAAGATAGTCACTGATAAAAATTGTCAAGATGAAGTGGATAATCATTGGAATTAGTGGGTTGACGTGTAGTGGGAAAACTACTATAGCTAAAAAAATTCAGGAGACCTTGGAGGACTCTGTTTTGATAAGTCAGGATAATTATTTTTTATCTGTGGACGATCCAAGGCATACACTTGTACCGGAGCTAAATCATTTAAACTGGGAAATCTTAACGAGCCTTGACATGTCGAAAATGTACAGTGATGTCATGAAAACTATTTCATCTCTGTCATCGAATAACACTCTTGAAGACAAAACTTGCAGCGAGACTAAAATCTTAATCCTGGAAGGATTTTTATTATTTAATTATGAACCTATAGCTGACCTCTGTCAACTCAGGTATTTTTTAGATCTAAGTCGAGAAATATGTTGGAATAGACGGAGCAATAGAGTTTATAATCCACCTGACGTTCCTGGATATTTTGATACCGTTGTTTGGCCAGAATATTTAAAGCACAAAGAGGAAATATTTTCTTGTCCAAGCTTAATTAATTCTGTTAAGCTTTTGGATGGATCCAAGAGTATAGATGAATTGTACAATAAAATAATGAGTGACATTAATGCGCTTTTGTATAAATACTTTATAAATAAAAAGTGATGGCATAAAGTTTAAAAAGTGTGTTTCAGACTACAGTAACATTTGTGATCATTTTACTATTTTAAAGTTGAAATAATCAGTCACATGTGGGAATTCGTAATAAAATCATTTTATTTTTAAATTATCTTTCGCAACACTTAGCATATTCACGTTTGTTTTGCAATAAAACATTTTTTTGTAGGAAAAAAAAAAAACTAAAAACAAATTTTTTTTTTTTTTTTCATACTGAATTTGAAGATTTGCAAAACAACGTTAATTTAACAAAATATTCAAGAGCCGACTCATTCTTATTTTACTGTTTTCAGCTTTTTATTATAAAGTACAAAATATTCATTCCTAAAATACTTTGTTACATTTAATCATTTAAGTATCAAGTTGTGAAATATACTTAAAAATGATGTCTATTATTCATAATATTAGTATTGTTAAGCCTTATTTTTAAATATGAAAAAAATTGAATGTACAGTAAAACAAGAATTAAAAACTCTAAGTTAACCAAAAAAATTTGGCTATATTTGAATTCCTTGTAACACTCGCATTGATCGTATCATTCGTCATTCAATTTTTCGAATTTAGATAATATTTTGTATGTTTTACATGGAGTAAGTATTATGTTTTGGTTGACTTTGAGCATTAGATACGTTAGTGGGAGGAGTCCCAGCAACTTGATCATCTTGATCGGCTTGTCCACAAGCCTTGCGAATGTACTGTGGAGTTATCACTACTTCTTCTTCCATTTCCAGAACTTTTTTGCCAAGTTCAGCACACTCAGCCATTTCATTTTCTAGCTTTGCCAGCATCTCCGGTGAATCATACTTTTCTGGATCATCATGGAATATTACCATTCCATCTTTTTGATTTATCGTGGCAAAGATTTCTCCATCTTCAATCTGCAAGAAATGCCATTGTTTAATACTTTACTTTTTCACACAAAAAAGCTTACTACTACGATTCAAACGTACCATATTTAATATATATTTTTCAGCATCTGCTGGACTAGGTAATTTAACTCTAGCAGCCACATCGGACAAACTTAACGTTAAAAAGGTATTTGTAAGTCTTTGAATATTTTTTTTGTACAAGGAATTAAGCACTTGTTTAACCAGTCCCATATTATTGTCTCTTGAGAAGTTATCCCCAAATTTTGTAATGACTCCTTGCACTTCGTCACAATTATTGGTAGCATACTCTGTTGCCAATTCCTGATATGGCTGACTCAGTCTTTTAATGTGTCTAAACAGTAAATTATTAAGATAAAAACTGTTAAAATCAAGAAGATACTAAAATTAAAAAGATTAAAGATTAGTAAATTACCTTTTAATCAGATTACTAGTGTAATTTGGTAGCAAAACAACTTTTCCATTTAAAATTAATGACACGAGTATGTATTTTTTGTAAGCTTCTATCATAATGTGGCTAACAGCTGATGCAGGTGTCATCACGCAGACTTCATAAAAATACAATGCACTATCGTAATTTTTCATAGCCGTGTAGATCATTCCTCCATAGTAATAGTAGAGCAAAAAATACTTGGCATCGTCTTCAATGCTAATACCAGTAATGTCAGTATTTAAGAATTCCAAGGCAGGCTTGAAACACTTTGCCAACAGACAGAGCTTGCAAAGGTCGGCATGTATGGAAGTCAATTGGCTGTCGTACAATTGGATTCTCCTAATGGCTTTGCAAAGCAAGTCGATCCCTCTGATGGGTATGTTTAATTCAACTAGTATATCTGCGAGATGATGACACAAGTCTGCATAAAGTTCGGTGGCGAATCTAACTTGTTCCCCATTGCAGCCGGCAATGAATTCTTTGATCTGAGCAAGCACTGGCTTAAAGTCATCTACCTTGAGATTACTGTTGTTTGCGGCATTAGCCAGCTTTGCGCACAGCACGGCCAAAATACCCATCGAGTGCTGCTGCAGATCAAGAGTCTCCAAGACATTGTCGAGAAGCTGATTGTTCCTCACTAGAGCCTCGCTGAATTTAGGTAAAACTTGATTGAGCTCTTGGAACTTGCCTAGTCAGAGTGAAAAATAATCGTTGGATGTAAATGGTATTGTTTGAAGAAAAAAAAAAAAAAAAGTACAAAAGTGTGGATTTATATTCACCACGGAGGGTTTGAGAGGAAGAGGTTATATTATGTTTTGGTACAGGGGCTCGGTTAAAAGCTTACCGTCGGCGGAAAGTGCTCGGACGTTATTTACAAATTGCTCCAGTGCCGATGCCATATTTTACAGTATTAACAACCACGCTCGCATCACCAAACAGCCATGCAGGAGCACGCAAGAGTCGGAGATTTTGTAAAAAACAAATATCAAATCACCGAAATCAGAGACACACATCAACAGACAACACTCTGACTCTGTTTAGGCAGTGGGCCAGTGGCGGCGTTGTAGTCAACAACATGGGAGCACACACGGCGCAGTCGGTGACTTGGGGTAACCGGGTAACCACGAAACTGAGCCATTCGAAACTGATCGAGCAATGCGACACGGCGACATTGTCGATTGGTGTAAAAAGTTATACATATCAACGTTACGTTTATTTAAATATTCATCAATTGTATGGCTCAATTTTTCAATGATATTCGGCTGTTTGAATAATTATTACCGATCCAAGCTAGGTAACCGAGCGAAACTTAAAACAGTATAATGAGTTAAGGATAATAATTTTTTACACCAAAATGATGAGTAGAAACTCTTAATTTTACACCATTAATATTCCGAAAATTCAGTTCGGTGACTTTGTGGTTAGAATAAACATTTTTATATGATTAATAATTTACGTACACGTATCAAAACAATCGTACTGACTTGAGTATTATGAATTAATAATCATGCGACTGAGCTGAAATTTAATGTTTCAAAAAATTGTATATGTATATCAAGGCCGTTCTTTAACGAGTTAATTATTCATTAAAAGAATCATTGTATTCTATATTCTGCTCATCAAATTATTATTTGTTTTTTTTCTTCAATTATCAAAACAACCATGATTTATCAAATATTAAAGTCAAACCCTGATTCCATTAAGCCAGCACGTACCTGCAATATATGTGATGATTTTTCGTTCTATCCCTAGTTCTAAACAATGCATTTAATAATAATATTAATAATAATAATGCTTGTCCCAGTTTGAGTGGAAAACCTAAGCCGCTTGTTTCCATTGAATGAAACAAAATTGCCTAGAGACGCACGGGCAAACAAGCAAATTAGTTGTGACTAGTGAAGCATATACATGTAGGTTTCAGGTAACTGTAACAACTGCACGGTAGTCATAGCCCTCGTTGCAGTAATGCTTACGGCTCGAGTAAAAAAAATAAAAAAAATAAAAAAATAACGATTGGGCAAACGAGCTCGCAGTGAGCATACTTATATTTATTGTCTTCCTCCTTGTGAAAAAGCAAAATGAAATAAGACGCAAGGAGGTAAGGGGTGCATGCATAATGTCGAACGCGATGTACAGCGATATGTGGCGCGAGGCCCAGCGCCAGCTCGACGAGCTCACCCAAGCGGACACGGGGCTCCAGTCCGGGCCGGCGTGCGAGCGCCCGGAGGCCCGTCACCGGCTGGCCGAGCTATACGTACGGTACTCCGAGCTGGCCAACCGGCTCGAGGACTGCCACGACCAGATGGTGCAGCCCCAGAAGAGGCCCCTGATCCGCCGGCTCCTCGACGCCTGCCTCGGCCGCGTGCTCGAGCTCAAGCACGAACTCGTCGAGCTCGACTACTCCGAGCACAACTACTGCCACGACGCCCTTCTCAGGTTTTTTTCCCCATCATTTTTACATGCTCGTGAATCCACACTATCGCTTCGGTCCATTATTCTTATTTTTCAACCACAAATTATACACCGATGTACTTACTTCATTGTTGTTGCTTCGTGTTTTCCTTCATCGACACACCAACTACATAATATGAATTTCCACCCCCGGTGGAAATGATAATAATACGCAGAACGGGATCGCAGTGGTGGCAACAACAACGATAATGTAGGGAGGCGATTAGTGAAGGGAAAATAAAAAATAAAAAATAAAAAAAAAAAACTGATTCCGATCCAGATATCGGCTGACCCCCGACGAGGTCGAGCTGCGAGTGCCCAGGTACTTTCGGAGGGAGAGACAAAAGGAAATCGAAGCGAGGAAACGGTTCGCCGAAGAGACCTTGAGGAGCATCGGGAAGCTGGAGGAAAAATCGGAAAGCCGAAGGATGAGCGAGCTCGAAGCTGTGAGGCTCATACAGGTAAGTGTGCAGTTTTAATTTATAGGGTAAACGTTGGGAGGAGAAAAAGGAAAAACGCCCGAATGTGCAGGCCCACGAGCGTGCCAGGCAGGGACGGGTGAGATTTCAGTTCATGAAGGAAATTTCCGAGGTGAAAGAGAGATCGATGATGGGAGCGAAGCCAGGAAAGCCGGACGAGGCGACCGCGGCCGCGGCTGCCCTGAAAATCCAAAAGGTATGGCGCGGCTTCGCCACCAGGCGTCGAATTCACCAGCGCAAACTCGACGAGATGCTACTCATAGGTGATACACCTACACATACATATAATATGTATTTATTCAATGCAACAGTGAGAAATAGGTACATTTTGGCATATACATGTAGGTATGCTGCAGCCCTGCCAAACTGTGTCGGAGAGCGCGAGAAGGGTGGAAAAAATCGCGAGCCAGAGGTACGAGAGGCAGCGAGAGTTTCGGGACATCTGCGAGGCTTACACTCGGGAAGCCGAGGAGAGAATAAGGAGGGAAAGAAGCGCGATAATGGAGGAGAACATTAGAAGCGAGATTAGGGGCTGGATCAGCGCCTACTACCAGCAGACCGGCAAAATCCCCGAGCTGCCGTCGACCGAGAGCGGCGGCTCCCGGATAATATTCAGCCGGCAGGTCGACATAACTATTTATCACAACTATCATCTGCCGAATTATGAAAAAAAAAAAAAAAAAAGCCGTATAAATACCTTGAGTGCGCGTGATACGTGTGACCTATATTTTGTTTTCCCATCCGTGTAAATAAACTCCGTGTATAGAAGTACAACGTTCCCACGAATGGTAAGCTCTGTGTGTAGAAAGGGTGATTTTTCCGAAAACAGGAGACCGAGACGGGCTCGGTGCAGAGCAAGTCGACCACGGCCTCGTCAAAAGAGTCGAGGCGCTCGAGCACCAAGAGACAGCGCAAGGGCAGAGAGAGCGAGTCCGAGAGGCAAGCCTCGGAGCCGGACGAGCTCGGCAACTACAGACCCGTGGCCTCGAACTTCCTCTCCGAGCTCGTGCACTCGAGCCAGGAGTACCGGGACACCTGGCGCGACATGGACGAGTCGGCGAACCTCGAGCAGGCCCCCTACCTCCACATGATCGAGGCCGAAAAGACCCGCGAGATCGAGGACGAAGTACGGCTCGGCGTCGACCAAGCTCTGAGAAGTCGGTATATACACCCACCAAATGACCATATTTATCATTGTTTACGTTGATGGGATACGTTTGTCCGGGCGCGCCAGAGGACATAGAGGCTCTCCAGACGGCCCTAGACAGGGACAGGGGCTCGAAGGGCAAGCGGCCGAAGAAGGCCCCGAAACGGGTGCGCCGCAGTGGCAGGAAGAACAAGCGGAAAAAGGACAAGGACTTGACGCCCGATCGGTCGACCGAGTCTCTGCTAGAGGAGCTCCTGCAGCAGGGCATCGTCAGGCCCCATCCGGAGGTGAGCATCGACAACTACAGGGGCCAGCGCTCGTGCGCCAACTTTGACCTCCTCTGTGCTAGGGAACACGACCAACAGCAGCAAGACCCTCTCCCAGCTTTAGGTATATACATGCATCGGGCAAGGGTTATTGATAATACTTGATAATACTTTGCGTCATCCTCAGGTGACATTAGGCAAGTCGTGAGAGAGTATTGCATCCTGCCGCTGGGCAACGAAGGCCTGCGCGAGATGACGCCGCTCGTGCGCTCGGTCCTGATAGCCGGACCCCGGGGCAGTGGCAAGAGGATGCTGCTCGAGGCCATTTGCACGGAGCTCGGTGCCACCCTCTTCGACATAACACCGGCTAACATAGCTGGCAAGTATCCCGGCAAGTCTGGCCTCATCATGCTCCTACACTTGATTTCCAAGGTTATACGCAAGTGTACCCGCTGTGTCTTTTATTCCTCGTGTGTATATCATGTATATCATGTATATCATGTAATTATTGTGTCGCAGGTGTCGAGATTGATGCAGCCGTCCGTGATATTTATGGAGGGCGCGGAGAAGCCCTTTGTCAAGAAAGTTCCGAAAACCGACAGGACCGACCCGAAGCGGTTGAAGAAGGATCTGCCGAAGCTGGTCAAAGGCATAACCAACGAGGATCGGGTCATTTTCATCGGTACTTCTCGCAGCCCCTGGGAGGGCGACCAAAAGATGTTGTACCAGACCTACGACAAGGTCATTTTCGTCCCGAGGCCGGATTACGGCTCCATGTCGCTCATTTGGAGGGGACTGCTCTGCAAGGTCTGCCAATATTATATTTTATTTAATCACTTGTACTACTTCATTATGATGTTTAGGCGTGACTAACTACCCGCACAGACGAGTGTTGTATACATTGCCAATTTTGGACAAAGGCGTGATTCACGCTATAACTATTATATGTCATACGGACTTTACAGTTTTTACACGTACGTGGAATCGTTTTTTTCCCAAGTTTCCCAAGTATCCCAAAAAAGTTCATATCTGTAACTGTTTTTCATACTAAAATCTAATAATTTCAAATTGAGCAAGTTTTAACGTTTAATTTTTCTTGCCTATAATTTGATTTGATTTCTGTTTAGTATGCAGGCATCAGTAGGCAATTCGATACGTCAGAAATGGCAAAAATTTGCGACGGGTTTACGATCGGAACAGTCATGTCTGCCATTGAAGATGTAAGACGTGAACAAACACGTTTATTATTTTTTAATTTTCTCCCATTGTTAATTTTTTTCCCCCCCTTTAAATTTAACCCCGCTGCTTTCCACAGGTAATGACGACGAAACGCATGGTGCAATTGAGGGTTCAACCTCTGACACATATCGAGCTGATTAACGCCCTCAGCTTGAAGGAGCCGATCTATCGAGAGGAGGAGGAAGCTTTTTTGAGTACGTATACAGATCGGTAAACATTTTATTCGGAACAAAAAATAAATACAACACAGCATTAAAAAACATTTGATGTATGTGTGTAAATTATATGCGTCTCAAAAAGCTTTGTTTAGATTATCAATACTTTAAACAAATTTTAAATATGATCGGGGGAAACATTTTTCCATCTCTAGACTACAAAACTCTAAAGGAAATCATCAGTTTTCCTCAAACACAATTGTGTAACAATTAGTATGTTTTTTGTTTTGGTAAACAATTATTTATCACTTGAGTGCTTTATATGCAAAAGTTTATCATGACATTTGTTTTTATCCAGATTGGTATTCGAAGACACCAACTTGTAAGAAAAAACAAAAAGCTATAGAAATGGAATTGGCCAAGCTCGAGGAGGAGAGTGAAAAAAATAAAAATAAGGGAAAGAAGAAAACGTAAAAGGAAAAGTCTATTGCCACTAACAGTGCAACAGAGTACGTTCATTCTATAATTAGCTGTACTGTATTTAGGTTCATGGATTATTTATTATTAACACAATACGCAGTGCTAGCTCTTATTATTATGTTATATAAATAAAAACACGTTTTTGAACTAGATGACCGTATTTTTATGTCACGTGTAATTTTAAATTAAACTTTATTTTTTAGTATGCGAAGAAATCCGATTTCATTGTTAAAAGTAATTTCCATTCAAACTATCACGTGATCCGTTTCAGCCACTGATAAATCGAATGAAAAGGCTTCAGCCACGTGACAGTTAATCTTATAAATACAAAATAAAAATACGTATATTTACATCCACGATAAGAAAAATTATTTCCTCCTACCACAAGCTGACGCGCTGAGAACTATCAACGACTTTGTATCATAATTATACCAAAAATGAAATTTTTTTTTTTTATACACACTTTTATATTTATTGACGCAATTGTAGAAAAACGCTTGCATAACGACTGTGCGCACAAACACAGAATTTTTTTAATTGTTGAAAGTCAATAAAAGTACTGATGTAAGTAGTTCTTAGATGCATGTAAAACAACTCTAGAGTATTAAATACGTATTTATTAATGTAAATAATGATTATTTTAAAAAATGTGTGAAAATAATAATAATAATAATAATTATATTTGGGCTAAATTTGTTTATTTCCATTAAAAAGAGCATCGTGGAAAAGTGAATGGTCGATTTTATTGTTCAATGATGTATCCTGCATAGTATATAATATGTGTGTATAATTATCCATTAGATATCTGAAAAGATGTGTAAACACCCAACTGTAATCAGGATAATGATAACACAAGTATATAGTTTTATAATCTGACGATCAGAATCGTTTGTTCGTATATTGATGTGGAAGAACGCGCTTTGATAACAGTTATCGCATCAGCCGAGCAACAGTCACCAGTTGTGCACCGAAAAGCAGATATACGTGTACGAAAGCAGCCACACTATTTCAAAGTTATCGTATTGCACGATAAGTACCAATATACGTGTACGTATAAGTATGTTGGTTTGACGCGAGCCCGTGTCCGCGTCAATGCCCACTGCTCGGCGACACATGCAAGTGGGCCCTCGCGATGCGGTGGGTATCGATGATAAAATAAACTCGCGCGAGGAGTGTGGGCCTCTACACTCCCCTTCCTCCTTTCGTTTCATTAACTCTCTTTTTTCTTTAGATTTCCTTTGGAGGGGGAAAAGGTCCGATCGCGCCACTCATCGCATGTTCGTCACACCGAGGATGTTGCTGGCGCTGCGGCTTTTCTTTCCTCTCTATACACATATACCTTTACTTATCTATGAGCACAACATACATTTTCTCACCACCAGTGTTACTTATATATATATATATGTGCGCGATATATTTTTATGTAATAGGATATTCTCGTAATAAGTCTAGAGCGAGAAAAAAAAATACTACGAGATTCGTCTTGAGCTCCAGTAGCCAGTATGTAGCAGTTTTAAGTTTTGGATGACATTCAGCCGCGTACATCGAAAGTGACGGATGATATCTTGGACTTTTTTTTTCAACTTTGGACGTTCGCTGCACTGTCGGTAAGAAAAAGTAAGATCAACGACATAAGCGCGATTCAAAAGTCATAGCTCTGGTTACTACCCCCCCCCCGCACTTATAGTCATCAGATACATACATTCAGTTGAATAATGAAATCGCTACGAAAAAAAAATTTTTTAATTCGCCTATTATTTTCATGTTATCAAGACATTTTTATGAAATGTCTGGAAAATCAGGTAACCTAAAAAATATTTTCAATTTTTTTTTTTTTTTTTTTTTTTTATTCACAGAGAATGAATCATTGTGGCTAGTCGATTGATGTAACATAGGTGCAATGCAGAACTTCTTTAACATTATGCTAATTCAGTCGCGGTGATGTCGTAGATGCTAACTCGGAAAACATCATTATTTCCTTCAAAATTTGTGGCGGTAACTATGCGGTTTTATTCATAAGCCGAGCGAACAAAACATTTTTTTGCTCTTAAAATTTCGCCAATATAGTAAAATACTTACGCTTCCGCAACAAAATTTAAGAAAAAATACAATTATACCTCCATGTCCAAGTGGGCACCTCCTTTTCCATAAACTAAACTAGTATCTTTGTATGGTGTTCTTTAAAAGGGAGCAATTACTATTGAATACATGATTTTTTAAATTAAATATCTATAATTATGTTACTGTCGAAGCTCAATTTTTTCACTTCGGGCGTTTTTTGTTTACTCGGTAGAAAAATCAGGGTTTGCCACTGATATATACACATCCGTCCAAGGTTACCACAAAGGTCCCTAAGGCCCGTAGTGGAGGAGACACACGCGTACACAAGGGGCGAAATCTATTTTTTTTTTATTCTGAAAAAAATTGCTTTGTTAATTAATTTATCGGTAGGTATATGCTATTCAACACATAATCTACATCGATCGCACTAATTGATTATTATTTCGTTAATATTATTTTACCATAGCTATACATGCATAAGTCAACTGATACGAAGAACTTCTCGGTTAGACCCATTCGACCTTCGCGGCGCGCCCTGATTACAATCATGACGAGGAGAATAGTAGTAATATTCAGCTTTACGGAACTTGTTGGCTGTGTGTACCTACCAATATCACCTAAAATAAAAAAAAAGAGTTGCTATAATCGCTAACATTTTTAACTGAAAAATCAGTTGATTTCGCGAAACCAAAAAAAATTTACTCCCGCGAACCTGCGAGTTATGATGATGAGCAATACATGTTACGCTTTTATCTTATCAGACGAAATAATCTTCTAGTAATCGCGTTTGTTTTCGACACTTTTTGACACATCGTTTTCACCAAAGGGTGTAAAACAAGAAGTACCTACTTATATGAGAGGAGATTCGTTTGTGCTCCCAACGCGCGATAATATAGGTGGTCGTGTTCCATCCAGATGATGGTATCCCGATTACGCGGACTTGAACGGTTGAAGCATGATTTAAAATTAAGTAGGTACAAAATTTACTTGCAAAATGTTAATATTTCATCTATTTCAAGCATTTAAGTATTTTCGAAGATATCCGTCGAATAATTGTAACCGTTCGTTACATACTACCTTATACTTTTAGACCAAAAACGAAATATCTGTGCGGTTGATCCGTCTGATTATTTTGTATAACAGTTATAACAACAATGTATCGTTAAAGTAAAAGAAAACATATGTAAAAAATCGGAATGAAATCTGAAAAGTAAGAATGATGACATTTCCTATGTGGCGTGGCTCCAAAAGTAGGTATATATAGGTATACATGCAGTAAGAGATAGGTATATGTAAACAACGCACGTGTCCCTCGATCATCGGGTAATACTTATATAAAATATAAACAAACCTCCCTCGTCTCACTTCCTGCAGTTCGTGTTCCTGATGCCGCGTGCTTCCCTTCCCCCACCCTTGTTCATCATCTGCTGCTGCGCCACGATGACGACGACCGTTGTTCTTTCTCCGTCTCGCTCACATGAATAGGTGTTAGGTATATATACTGCGCAGGCGTGCAGTTAAACCTAGCCCCCATTGGTCGGTACCACATGGTCTGACATCAGACCACGAAGCCGGCGGCACGGCACCGCCAGATGGCCAGATCCTCTAGCAATACTCTCTTACCTATAGGTACCTACAAATATCCACTCTGTCCGCTCGTCCGCTGTCGTGTACTTATATACCTACACCTATACCTATCTAATACGTGACGCGTGTGTTGTGTGTGTTACCCATCTACCTTTTGTGTGTAAAAGTACTCTCTCTCTCTCTCACGCGGCGCGCGGCGTACAGCTACACGCGTATATATATATATATATAGGTATACCTCTCGTGACTTGGCTCTCCGTTCGTTCGCGACTCGGCTAGTTTCAGTCCTTAGCGAGCTGCGCTCGGCTACGCTTTATTTACTCGGATTTATCCTCATACTCTGCAGCTCCGAAACTAAGGAAGACACGTTGATACTTCGCTCGCTGGCCGACGAAGAACATTCTTTTAAAAAGTATACTTAAGTAGTTTTTGCTGCAGTTGGAAGTAACCGCGTGCTCCGACTCCGAGTTGACAACGTATACGTGTATTATTTTTACCTGTACAACTTGACGCAACCCCCGAACGCAATTGCTCGGAAATTTCCTGCGAGTCCACGCGATAGGTGAGTTATATATTTATACCTATGAATCATAAATATATACACGTTACTATATTTGTATAATAAAAGTATAACGCCGGTATACATATAAGCTTTAGTTTATTGATTTTACGCTCTTGACGCTCATACGCGCGCCCATTTGTCGCAAATAAGTACGTAGAATGACAGTTCCTCGTCCGTCCTTTGCATTATACGTACATACTTAAACGTAACGTCTCAATATCGCAATTCAGGAAATAGGTTTAATTAATTACCTACCCGGCACGTAAGTTGATAATCCCTGCATGCACGCGCCCGTTGCAGCCGCGCCTAATGAAACAAGCTAGAGAGTAGAGAGTGCGGTACACAAACACATGCATCCGTTCGGCTTTTAGTATGGCTCACACTTTCTTTCTTTCTTTCTCGCTCGTCTCCAGCAAATGTTCTCATTTTCTACTTATTTTCTAGGTTATTTCTTCGTTCGTGGCATCCATAGATCTATTATCATCTACATATAACTATATACCTACCGACCAGCTGATAGTGTCGTTATGCGTTATTGATCGCGAAGCTGTCATCTAGGGTACCTACCTACATAAGTACAAGGAGCCCAAAATTCTCGGCTTCGACAGGTGTGTGTAGAGTTACCCCTGCATTATTTGTTGTTGTTTTAATGTTTATTTGAAATGACACGATATAGATTACCTACGTACATGAGTTGTTATGGTTTACGTTTGTCCGAATAGTCAGGACTAAATTGTATATTCTTTTTTACGGTATGTTTATACATTTTTCTTTTCCGTTCGATGAACTTTGCTGTAACAAATAAATTGCCACCCAATCGAATGCACATTAAAAACTTTCTACATAAGTAAGTACATGTATGTTGTACAGGAAGTCCTAGTAAACAGCCATATTTTTATGGGTATAGTACGTCTTAATTCGACCAAAGAATCTAACGGAGCCAAAGTTGACTACAATACATATATGTATATTATGATACAATACATACAACTCGACTAGAGTTTTTCTCCAGCCCGTATAAGTAATATAGATGAGTAGTGTAGCTATTCTCCAAAGTATTATACCAGTGCCGATAGAATAGTTGCAGGGATGTGCCCCACAGCGCTCTTTCCAGGGTCAGGTATAGTATAGGTAATAGAAATACAAGCTATGCGGGAAAAGGAGATATCCCCCCACCCCGGCTCCTCATTTTTCTTCTCCCAAAAGTTTGAAACCACACATACAAAAGCTGTAATATCTATAGTGTCGAAATTCAATTCGTGAAAGCTGTGTTTGTCGCGTCTACTTTTATGATATTACCAAGTATTAGACGTTATACAACGCTCGTACGGAGCGTCAATGTATAAGTACGGCCCTTTATGGCTCTGCTTCTCACTTTGCTCTCTAGATAAGAATTTTGTTTGTCCATCGCCCGGTGCAAATTTTCCTCGTGGTTTCGCTAATAATTTAAAGTTTTCTTATTTGACATGCTGCATTTATTTTTACATTGTGTATACAATAGTACCTAGCACAACTACCTAATGTCGTTCACTAGTGAACGCAATTCTTATCGTGACAAAATTTGAATATGCATCGAATTAAACGGTGACTACTCACTAATTTGCAAATACATCACTCGTTCTTTTTCAACAAGTGTATTTGAATCGATAATTTTGCACTTATTAAAGGTAATAAGAGGACGCGGGAGAAAAGAATGGGTGTACATATGTGAATTTAAAAGAAACTGTATGATGGTATAGTAGTCTCTCTCGTCTTTTTTTTTTTTTTTTTTTTTTTCATGCTATCGCTGTAAAATCGATTATCGCAACGTAAAATCGATATTATAGAAGCAAGGTCAAGGTGAGGTGATAAAAGTTATCACCGGCTGCAAGAAAAATTGCACTGCATGTGCAATAAATAATCGTAAATGATCAAAAACATCAGCACTACTTCGTGTATCCCAATATACCTACTACTATACTATTTGGGTTGCTGAACATGAATGCTATGATGATTAAATTCCTCTACTGCGTCACAGCACAGCTACCCAATAAATGAACCGCACTAGAAGTAAACGTCATTGTTTTCATACATTTTACATTTTTGCGCGATCCCGTGTTAGTATAACTTTTTTTTATGGTAATGTGGGGTTATCGCTGCAAATACTAGTACGTATTGCGTGCGTAATAATGCGAGTGCGTCTATTTAGTTGTCAATATTTGTTTTCGTTCAATTATTAATTCAAGTAACTGAACGTAATAGAAAAGTGATGGAAAAAAAAAAAATTCTTCCACTACGATTTTGTATGTTATAACTGGTAGCAGTTTTCGATAAAAGCGGACTTGCACCGTGACAGCTCGTTCGAAAAGTCAAAAGAGCGCCGCGCGCTCGGAAATAAGTAATCGCTAATTGGATGGCCACTATTCGTAATACAATATACATGTCATGTTAATGTTCCTTATAGTATGGGTACCAGTACGCGTGTCACGTTCCCTCGATTAACCTGCCTGATACCTATTCGTTCCCGGCACACGTACTAAGTATGTTGTACTAAATTCTCACGCAGTATTCGATTGAGCGGAGGCAAAGTGCAAATAGGCGACAACGACGGTTAAGTTGACATGGCTTTGCCATTTAATTATAAGTACATTCACAGCTGTTCATGCTAATCGATAATAGTCTAGCGCGGCTTTTTTTATTCATATAAATAATTCCAGGGTTGAAACTGTCATGAACTTTTGACACGTGTATAGTCCAGCCGTTTGCACGTTGCCTAGTGTAGAAGCTGGTCCAAAATTGTTCAAACAATTAAAAAAAAAAATTTCCACTTTTTAATTTTAATTTACGAAGTTAATACTTTCCGAGATAATAATTATCTAAAGTTAAAAAAAAATGCCAAAATAAACATTTTTTTTTTTTTTCATGACAAACCATACGAAAAACAAATAATTTTAATGTTGCTTAAGTTCTTGAATAATTTTTAAAAATTTAAAGTAGTCCAAAAGCGATTCAGGCTGTTATTTTATTGCAACCTCTTGCTTCTTAATCCTGTTACGGGCACTTCTGAGTACTGAAAAGTATACATATATACATAAAACATATGAGCCAGACCCGTGGATACAATAGGTGTGAAATGATGACAATTTATTATCTCCCTCGCAGCTTCAAACTTCCACGGCAACCAAAATTTCGAAACGTGAATTTGTACATTGACGATTGTTGAGCTGAATTCGAAAACACATTGACCAATGCTGTATGAATACAAGTAAAGGGGTACATGTGAACACCGGGCGGGCGTATTATTCGCGATTTCACCATTTCATTTCGTTTATCTAATGAAAATGTCGAGGAAAATGTCACACACGTGCGCACGTGTCTCAAATAAATGCTCGAAACAATCAAAGTCGTCAAGTTTGAGGTAACTTTAATAAGATGCGTCTTGAAAAATTTTGAAAACAACAGCATCGATGATACATTTCTAACAATCGAAACAGCTTATCGGGAGATGGCTCGTTGACGTCTTTCTATATGTAAATGTACCGGTGTCACCAACGTTTTTCCTTTAATCCGTATATTGTCACTTTGTACAACACGAAGAACAAGTAATTCATCTTCCATTATCCGTATAGAAGAAACCATAGTATGGAATGTGTTACTCGGCTGTCGTGGTGTGAATTAAATGTTAATCATTATTTGGAGTAAAAATCATACAACAACACCGTAGGCCGTAGCTCGAAGAATCGAATAAATAAACGCCGGCTCGATTCGTGTTTGCTCAATTTGTAAACGTCCCTTGAGGATGCAAAAATCGTCCGTTCCACGAACAGCTTGGCCGAACTTCTAAATCTCGCTTACGTTGAAGATAAAAGTTTTTCAAAATCAACGTGTGAATTTTCGAGATTTTTCAAGAAATATCACCTGTTGCATTCATGCATCGATAGGTTATATACATCGAAGAGAAAAAACGTGGATCGCTTGCTGATGAATGCCCCCTCTGTCTAACATTGCAATAATTCCGCAGCATTAAGCTTATGACGTAATCGGCACGCAGTACCTACTGCGACGACGCGCGACTTAGATACGTTATCCAATGCCAGGCAAGTTTAAGGTCAAGAGCAATGCAAATTTATTTTTTGCACGCTTCACGTGTCTGTTTTTTTAATTTTCCCTTCCCCTCTACGAATTCAAGTCTTATTCGTTTACGAATATGGTTCAAAAACGGTTTCAATAAAATAATTTAGCTGATGGATCAAACACATTTTATTTGATTAGTAACAGCATATCCAGTTGTAGTAATAATGACTACTTTACACGAAAAGACTTGCATTATCTGTGGAAGAGCAATAACCCAATCAAGTCACATTTTTCACGAATGTGTGAAACACGACCCGAGGCCATTGGCCTTAGTGGGGTTTGACGGGGAAAAAAATTACTCGGCTCGCTACCCCGGTCAAAATCATCTGAAAATGCGTAATTTGACGGCACCCATAGCTTCTACTATCGCTGTATCTGTCACGATATAAGTAACCAAACTGACAATTTTGCGCACTACTCGGCCCCGTCGTCGCGTTTTTCGTGTACCTATATATACATGTCGACCAAAATATGGTGACCATAAAAAACGCGACAGTAAAATGGCATCGCGCGATTTCGGTAGTGCAATTCCTGGAGAGCGCGTGTTTACGAATTGTTTCACCAGCGGGTGCCAAAACTCGACGACACATTCATGAGCGCCGAAGGCGTTAAAAAAAAAAAGAAAAAAAGAAAAAAAAGAAAAAAAAGCTCCTATGGCTTATCGGCGCTCCGTCGTACGAGCTCCTCAAAAGCCGGTGGACGTCAATCATCTGCATTCGTTAGATAAACGTGTGCACTGTTATCGTCTTGCACGAGTCCAAACCACGCCACGGGTGGAGAAAGAATAATTGCTTGCTCGCCAGCGAGGAGGGAATCGGAAGACGAGAGCCGCCAGAGAAATTCCGATTGCGGTGTAATCGCTGAACAATGGGTGCGCCACGCGGGTGGCATTTTTTGTCTCCCTCTTTCCCAACACCCATCCCCCACGAACTCGGTAAGTATCGCTGTATCGCGCGTGTATTGTTTTTTTTTTTTTTTTTTTTCCTCCCACCGATAACTCACGCGAGAGCATTTTAACGCGTGCGTGGACATACGACGCGAGCAGCTGATCGGTAGCTCCGAGAGTTTATTATTGGGCTTCGAAGTGACAGGCATCACGCGATTCTCCACAGAAATTCGTGACTATCTATACGTACCACACAAGGGTACTCGTGTACGATTGATCATAATGTCGAATATAGTTGTTCGGTACGTCGCTATGGGTGAAAAAAAATGTCGATGAATGAAATAAACAACCAAATGATCATTCTCATTATTTGATGAGACTCGGGCCATTAGAACCACGATAACAGTGCCCCCAAGACCTTCCCTAAACTGAACAGACGTAACATTGACAAAGATATGGTGAAAAAAATAATAAAAATTCCAAACAGACTCGAATTGAAGAAATTTTATTTTCACACGAGACCGACTCACCTGCTTATATATTACGCTCACAGGGGAATCGAAAGCGACGAGCCAATAAACTTTCAATTCTGTTTTAGCTCCTCGTAAAATTAAACTGCGGTAAGTAGCACGTACTTCTCGTGACAATGGAATTGAAAATTTTACGACTCGATGTGTGCAACGGATGAGAGAAACAAGTATAAGTACTTACATCCACGTAGAACAATAAATCGTATACCTATACTCGTTTGCTCTATATAATTGTACTCATCGCGGACGCTCCACGTACTTTAGTTTTTACTTCATTTCATTTCATTTGTTTTTTTTTTTTTTTTTTTTTTTTTTTTTTTTTTTTTTTTTTTTTTTTTTTTTT